AAAAAAAAAAAAAAAAAAAAATCTGGCTGAGAGTTGACCATGGGTCTGGACACAAGCAATGATCGGTATAGAAACTAAAGGGGGGAACATCAGAGAAACTTACGAGTAGAAGGAAGCCCAAATTCTACATTTGAGGAATAAGAGACAATCTTCAAAAGTTTTTGCTGAAGGGGTACAAAAAATAGTGTTACAGCCTGGAATGGGGTGGAGGGCAGATTGTGAAGGTCATAGCCAGAAAATCCAAGCCATCTTTATGTATTAAGCTGATGCCTGAGCATCTGCTTGTATCAGGGGCATTTTTGGCATAGGGGAATTTTTCTTTTGTATATATATGATAGCTGAGTCTCTAGGAGCTGGTGAAATTGGCTAACATCTTAGGAAACAAGTTTGATTTGAAACTCTGATTGGGATATTCCTTTAGCCGGTGGAATCCAGTTTGAGATATTCTTCAAAGGAATCCTTTAGTCTAATGTGTAATTATTTTTCCCTTTTTGCTGGGACATACCTGCTCATTAATTTTAAGGCAAAATTTGGTGAATTTGTTTTGTATGGTTTCCTCTGATGTGAAAATGTTTTTTTCCTTATTGCCATGATTAATCATTTTTATAGTACTTCTGCATGTCCCCAGAGAGCTCAAGGCACTCTGCATTTATCCATTGGGAGAGAGAAGTGTTATAGGGAAATATATTGAGGCATAGAAAAATTGAGCTCTTTGTCAGGATTATGTAACAGTGGAGTCAGTACTTCATAATCTACCCCTTAGTTTCTTTGTTTTGCTTCTGCATGGTAACTCTTATATTTGTCTGACCTTGTCCTGAAAATTCAAATTCTTCAGGAAATAAGATGGCCCTTGGAAAAGGAGCAGCATCAGCTCCTACTCCTTTTCCCTGTCTATAACCCATATTATGCTACCTCTGCTTAGCTAGTTTTGTTCCTGAAACTGTTGTTATTTTGACATGTTTTCTGCCTTGTGTTTTTGAGGGGTGTCGGGCAGGTTCACTCA